AAAATTAAAACACAGAATCGTCTAATCGTGAGCGAGGATTAGTTTAGTACGTGTTTGAGAGGAAATGAAATAGAAGATTGTTTACCAGGAAAGTGTACACAACATTACGTGCTTTTAGGCGTAGCTTTGTCTGTGTTTGCTTTAAAGTTACGAGTGATCGCAATGCGTTCAGTATTCTCGAAAACTCTGAATTTTAGCACATATTGCAGATATGGTTAAGCGAATGATATCAGACAAAGAAGAAAAAAAAAGTATATAGGAAATGTTGATAAATTCGAGTAAACGATTGTTTGTAATTATGCACAAAGCTACACAAAGGGCTCGGGGGGCAATAACAAAAATATGATTCATGTTTGTTTGTAGTTAAGCACAAAGCTACACAATGGGTTATCTGTGCACTGCCCACCACAGCACTTACAACGCTAGAAACCGGGTTTCGATACCGCAGACATATCGCTGTGCCACTGAGGGGGGGGGGGACAATATGATTTATACAGATTCAACGTCTGCAGCAAGCTGAAGTGATGAATTACGAAAATATGCTAATATGTAGAGACATATATTTCTATTTTTTTCATTTTATAAGTTTTTAATAAATTGGTAATGATAATAGTTAGCTCACTAGGAGAAATTAACCTGTAGTTATTATTGCTTTAATTTCTCAGAAAATTAAGATTCTAATTACTGAATGTGATATAATTAATTGAAATTCTTGGTATAATGTTTGACTAAATGCTCTTTACGAACGTCATATAATTAATAGTTGGACGTTTTCGCATAGCATTAGAATTACATATTTTCATTGCTCACGTGTAATACATTTCATTACAAAGTGTTTTCTGGGGAATAGAGTTTTGGTTTGCGCATGCTTTAATCACTTTAATCGTTTTGGACCATAGAAGCTACATACACACGGGACGCTAATAAGAAGCGATCAGAAAGACTAGATATAATCACATGACTCGGATCGTATATTCCTTGTGTCAACTTCAAGTGTACACAATGGAGATGAGTTATTGAATTTTATTATTGATTCAACTTACTGCGATCTCAACTGTATTTTACAAATAATTCTTATTTTTTACAAGTTCATCATTTTACAAGTTGTTTAGTTTGCGGTCGAAACGCTGTGCATTTAAATAAAACAACTTATGAGATTCTTTGGAGTTCAAGGTCGTTTTAATTATTTGTAATTATGTGTACTACGTTCCAGTCAGTTAAGAAATGTACAAAAAGTCATTATTTGGACTGTTTTATTTATTATATTTTTACTATTTATAATTATATTACTATCGTTGTTGTTGTTATTTTTGGTACGCACCGTAATTAAGCAACAATATTCAATTTAGCAAATGTACAATATTAAATTTACACGTTAATTGTCTTTCAGTTAAGGAAAACATTAAGACACTGTTTAAAAAGTCCCATTTATTGTGGAACAATATGATTATCTTATCAATTTATCACAAAAAACAGCTTTTAGTCACCTGACTCCAAAAACGCCTTCGATGACGATGACAAAATCTTGTCGAAACGTCGTACATTTATGATAAAATGGCTCCCAATAGCATAACGGCATGTCTGCGGACTTACAAAGCTAGAAACCGGGTTTCGATACCCCAGGTAGGAAGAGCACAGATAGCCCATTATGTAGCTTTGTGCTTAACTTCAAACAAACTCTTATAATAAAGTATTTTCATTACCCAGTCAAGCCGTCTCAAAACTATTATTTTCTCAAGAATGAGCTTTTCATCATCAAGTTTCACTCAGGCTTTGTCCTTTTAACTTCCTCTCGTCTGGATCTGGTTTTAGGTCCGATGTATAACCTTGGAGTGTCAGGTGCATTTTTACCTCTTCCTCCCAACCGGACAGTTAGTTCATATGTTTTTACTTTAGTTGATGCATTTTTACAGTTACAGTAGTTTTCCATATCCTGCAGAGAAGTCGTAGCTTGATCAAACAAACTACAGGACAAACAAGACAACAAGATGTTGCATCAGGTTTCTGTGTATGCTGGATCAGTGTTTTTAGGCTTGCGGCCTGTAGTTGTATTAGGTGCTCGTCGAATATTTTCCCCTCACATGTTTCTTTGTACTTTTTTCCCTGGTTCTTTAGTAATATCCTCTTACTTTGAAGCATTACTCACGGTATTATAATATATCGGCAACTGTCCGCAAATATTTTAATATAGTATACCCTTTCAAGCCATGTCCATTTTTACTACACTTCACTCATATATGATTGCACATACGGTCCACATATAATCCTATTTTGACATAAATACCCTTTTAAAATAGAGCTATTTCTGCATCAAAGAACCAGTCTGCCTAACACTTTTTACGTTTCTTATTACTAATATTTAGGGGAGATAGGTTCTCAGGATTAGATTTATCATGTGCCATGTAGCTCTCTAAGTAGCTCATCAGTTCTTTTTTTCTACTGTTTTTCCTTTTAATACTGAAACGAGTTATTTAAAAGTCTGTCAGGCAGTAACAGTGTGTTCGGATAGAGGTACAGAAATGTTATATTTGTTGATTGTGGAATTTTGTATGCTTTAGTTAGTATGTATTTTTTTTTTAGTTTGGTTATGGGTGTTTCTGATACATTTAGCCAAGCAGTAAAGGCGTATTCTATAATTGGTCTTATGTTTTGTATATTTTTGGGTGAGGCCCTTTTCCCGTCAGACTCCTAAGATAACATGCTCTTTGCCAGATTCTAGTTTTATTACTATTTACGTGCTGTTGCTTCGTTAATTTGGAGTCAAAGATAATTTCTAAGAATTTTTCTGGTGTTGATAATTGGAGGAGAGTCCCACCTAGATAAAGTTGTGGTTGTATTCTGCTTCTTCTGGTTGATTTGGTGAACAGAATTACTTGTGTTTTATGTGCGTTTATTTTTCAGTTATTAATGGTTGTATGTTATATGTCATTGTTATTGAGTTTTAGGCACTCTTCCAGATGGCAACATCATCTACAAACTGTGAGCAGAAGGTGAAATTTGAGTCTTTTAGAAGCAAGGTGCTTACATACACAATAAACAATGTAGAGCTAACCACCCCTCTTTATGGAACACCTGCAGAGCTAACTACACCTCCTTATGGAATACTTGTCTTGAGAGTGAAGTTTCTGAGTAGGTGCCTTCAACACTTTCTCTGATGCCACTATATTCCAAGACGTTTGACACAAGCGCATCATTCCAACTTTGGACATTTGGAATCGAAGGACGACGTCATGCCGTACCCTGTCGAATGCCTTCTCGACCTCGACACGGCAGTGCAGTATTTCTTATTGAAGCTTCTGACTATTTCTTCTGTAAGCCTGATTAGTTGATCTGTTGTTTGTCTGGATTTACGAAATACATCTTGAACTTCGAGTAATTTTGCGGTAGTTTTGAAGTATGCTAGTAGTTTGTGTTATATGTTCATACAGTCTCAAAGGTCCTTTTTTGAGGAGTATACTTTGAATTCTGTCTTGTCTTGGTGCTTTATTGTCGAATAAGTAAGACGAATACTATGATATAACACAACCATTAATCAAACTCATCAAAATTGTAGAAGTACAAAGCAACATAAAACTAGTGAAAAATAAAGCACTGGAGCAAGACAGAATCCAAAGTATACTCATAAAAAAAAGGATATGTAAGATTGTATGAACATGTAGCAGCATATTTCAACCTTTCTCTGAAATCAGGCGACGTACCAACTTTCATCGTCAATGTTTTACGTGCTTTTGTGTTTTGAAAGGGCGTTGACCTTGCTTCTGATTGGTCAGTTTTATTAGAGCTGCTCGGCGAGAAAAAAGAAGAAATGCTCTATTTTTTGTGGCGGGCGAACTCCTCAAAGTGGCGCAACTCGTGTCGCCCGTGACTGGTGTGGATGCTCCCATTCACTGTAGTAATTTCTAAAATATACGCCCGCTCCGCTCGCGTCCAGTATGGATGCACTTTTACTTTGTAAGGCACGAACAACGCAGCTCGCGTTGTCGCGATTACTCAGGGCAAGTCATTTCAACGTATGGATTTAAGCAGCATTTGTCTATAAAGGTATTTAAGACTATTGAAATCTTTATGTTTTGCAATGAAGTGAACCGAATGTTAAACTATTGTTAAAAGGCAAAAATGTATAAAAAAATACACCATTTTGATTGACAGCATAATAGTATATCCGAGATTTTTTTTCTCTTGCTGTTAACAAAGAAAATTTGTGGTTAAACATCAATCCAGTTCTTCTTTTGTATAGTAAAAAATTAACTTCAAATTATTATTCTCTTACATTTAAGAAACGTTATCTATAAAGGAATTCAACTTATTTACGACAAAAAAGTTAAACAAGTCGACTTGTTTTTTGTTTTTTTTCAAAATAGAATGTCTCAACATCTAAAAAATAACATATATAATATACATGAGAAAGGAATGTATTAACTTTAGCAAGAATGAGTCGACAGAACCATAATATATATTTGACTATCTTTGTTAATCAGAATCGCCGAGGTTCTGTCTTCTGGTCGTTTAAATCGTAGAATTTGCATATTATTTTATGGTCTTACTGTCTTTATAATATTTAAATAGAAATTGCAAAAATTGTATTATTCCATAAATCAATGCTGATTGCCATGAAGATGTTATAAAGGAATCCGTTAAGCAACAACAAGCGTTTTCAGGAGGTTCCTAAAGAAAAATCATACGATTTTGTAAAAACAAAAATCTTCCTATGGCATTTTGATCCAGTTTTTATGGCACTGTTTATAAGGTATTTATTTCCTGAACGTAAATAGACAGATATATCTGACAGCAATACGCATCTATTTCACGCATGACAGTTTTTAATTTATATGATCTCATATATAAAAATCGGCATATAATTTGCGAATAATGTTCATACTTTTTATATTAAAAAAAATTCAGTAGTTTCTTTACTGCATTATTTAATCGTTCAACCATAGACAAGTAAAACTTCTATGCTAGACAGATAGATTAAACTCCCTAATTATATTTTTCTTCAGATCCAGAGGATGAACTGGAACCTTCTGAGCAGGAAGTGGCAGAGGAGAAAACAACTATTGAAAAGATAGAAGTCGAACCTCAAACACAGCAAATGTTAAGCGCGCCATGTGTTAAAGTCAGTGACGGGCCACCGAAGTTGAAACTGATTCTTGACCCTAGGCACCTCCAGGATGCTAGCCAGCTACGAAAAGCAGGTCAAAATATTAGTGAGCATAACGTTGTTAGTCCTGACGTTTGTCTGGGTCTAGTGAAAGACTTGAACTCTCCAGTTGGGAAAGGCGCCGTTATGTTTGCAAAACGCAAGAAAAAATCTGAAAAGTGGGTAGTCGATGAAAACAAGGTTAAATCCCACCTTACACCACAGAAGGAACTCACTAAACCAGAAATGGGTCTGACAGCGACGAAGACTGGTCCTCAAATAACCAAGCTCCAAGAAATTCTGCACAATCCACGACTAAAGATTGTCAAGAGTCCGTGGGAAGCTGCTTTGGAATCTCCCATTGGAAGCTGTGATGCTGCTTTTGTCGAAGTCCGCCATAAAAGCCCTCCAGACGCATTAGCTGCTAGCGTCCTTAAGGCATCAGAAACCAAAGTCTTAACTCCTGCTGCAGCTACTCCGGTGCAGATTGATTCTCAGTCCCCTGCCACTACCGCTGCTCCTGTAACAACCAGTCAATCCACACAACCTGCAAGCTTTGAAATCTATCGACCTCGTGCTCCCAAAGGCTGGAGTGGACCGAGAAAAGGTGAGTATATAACTATGTACTTGTAAAGAAATTCCACAACCAACTTGTAAAACATTTAAAAAGTACATTTTGCTGGAGAAATTTTACATTTTTTCGCACACTTCTAAATAGTCAGCTTATGACGATTTTCAATGAATTTAAATAATATAAACACAAAATTATTACACTGGGTGTTTTAACACTCACCCTATCATTCAGCCGCATCTTTTGAACAATTTATTACAATATTTGACGTTTGGTATTTTCAGCCTGAATGACACCTTTGTAACACTTGGGCTAAAGGCCATGTCAAAGAAAGCCCAAGATTCGTCATAGCTGCCACTAATTATAAGCTGTTGATCAGAGGAAGACAGCCGGTCAACAGCATCAACTATCGACACAGCCACTCTTAACCGAATTGACTGTAGCTTTTATAAGGCACTTACAGTTTAAAACGTGGAGCGTGTTCAGAGGCATAATCTCTGACTCGTAACTCGAATACAGCCTGACGCTCTAATTTGTAAGGCCAAGCTCCCAGCCAAGTTTGTTACGGAATTACAGACCATGATGAGCTGTGGTATTGGCTTTCATTAAATTTTATCCAAACTTATCTTATATTTATATCGAATAAATGTATTTCCGTAATTTCAACACAGCTTCGTAAACCTGGTTAGCAGTGGGTGCAACCTTAGGACCCTTCACGTTTAAACATATTACGGCTAACCTAGGATTTACCAAATATAAACTTTTTGCCCACAAGAAGTGGATTTTCTTCAAATGCCTACAAGCTTTTTGTCTATCAGCTGGACATTTACCTTCATGTCCATTCTACTAATTAAAAGCCCCCCCCCCCCAGTGGCACAGCGGTATGTCTGTGGACTTACAACGCTAGAAACCGGGTTTCAATGCTCGTGGTGGGCAGATCACAGATAGCCCATTGTGTAGCTTTGTACTTAACTTCAAACAAACAACTAATTAAAAATACTGTTACTGCCGTTGGACGAGGATAAGTCGTTTACTTCATTGCATGCATAATAAGCATATCCCTCATAAAAAATGATAGGCATTCTGAAAATGATTCGGAAAATATTTATTGTATTGGCCAACAATATATTGGAAAAAATAAATTTATATATATCATAACACACGGGCAGAAACCGGACACTGTGGGTGAACCTTATGTTCTTTATTTTGTATTTTTTATTCTAAAAGTTTTAAAATACGCGTTAAATTTTTAATTCTTTTCTTATGTGATAATTATTAGTATTCTGCAGTAGAAACCTAGAGTTAACGATAGGCCTGGCATGCCTGTTGGTTAGGCGCTGTACTCGCAATCTGCGGGTCGTGGGTTCGAATCCCCGTCACACCAAACGTAAAACCAGCCGTGGGGTCGTTATAATGTGACAGTCAATCCCACTATTCATTGGTAAAAAGAGTAGCCCAAGAGTTGGCGGTGAGTGGTGTTGACTAATTGCCTTCTCTCTAGTCTATCACTGCTAAATTAAGGACTGCTAGCGCAGATAGACGTCATGTAGTTTTGCTCGAAATTCCAAACAAACCAAATCACTTGACGTAAAAATTGACCAAACCATTTTTTGTCGGACCCAGGTTCGAATATGCTAGATAGTCAGAATAATAAACCTAATATCCAGAAAAAAATTTTTAGCTTGATTATTTGTAGATATATATTTAAAAATATATAATAATGAATTTCATAACACAACCTGCAAATCTACCCACTGCCACTAAAATCTAAGAAAGAACATTTATTTTCAGTTATTTGGTTGATTGTCACCATTCCTTTCCTGTTGGTTCCATACTACATTATGTAAATCAATACGACCATTAACATCGCATTATCTGTATGTTTTGTCCCTGACAGTGAGCAATGTTCCAGCTGTTGAACAAAAGCAAAGTCCACCTAGTTCTGAGCCAGCACCACCATCTCGTCTGGAAAAAGTCGCTCCATCTGCAATGTCTTTCCGTAATTTTAACACGACTCCGAAAACCTGGTTAGCAGTGGGTGCAACTCCAGGACACTCCACGTTTAAACCTATTAAGACTAACTTAGGATTTACCAAATAAAAACTCTTCTCGTCCACAAGAAGTGGATTCTCTTCAAAGGCCTACAAGCTTTTTTCTGCACTTGAGTGACTGACACTCGAAAGGTTTCTCCTATACAGATTCTTCATCAGTTGGACGTTCACGTTCGTGTTCACTCTATTGACTAAGCTATCCCACAATCTTTAATGCTGTTTTAGTCTTTGTTAGAAAGTTTTTCAATTTAAGTGTGTGTCCCAAGATTGTTGTGATGGTTTAGTATAAATTTATTAATACTCTGCATGTCGGAGCAATGTTACTGATTTATTTTTGAAAAGTTAGTTGTCTCCTAAGTACTGATAATATTTTAACATTACAATTTTCCTATTTTTGCTCTATCACCTCGTACACTAATTAAATTATATAATTTCCAGTGATATATTATTATAATATATTATGTCATCTTTAAACTTCATATTTATTGTGCAAAATTGTTTTGCGTGAGTTCTCTTAGTGAGCGACTAAAGATATCTTGCGGTAGCATCTATAGAAATATACTTAGCTAGCATTTGATTAATTAGCTAATTTAAAGTTTACCTAATTCTGTAGATACGAACCTGTATTTCAGTGAAGGCAGTGTGTCATTATTTGTTTTATATGAAATATGTGTATGTTTCTGGAGATGATGCTCAATATTTCCTTAATTAAAGGATCTGATCTGTTCCGTGCGATATAGTGATTACATTACATTTGACTGATTTGAAGTACAGTTATGAGCTAATGGGATAGTTTAAAACTGTTGGCTTTAAGTATAAGATACTACTTTAATTGAGACATATAAAACTACTTTCTGTAATACTCTTTTGAAAATTTTGAAACTATAAATTATCTACCAACATGTAATCAAATACTGACTTGTAACTGATGAATTATGAAATTAAAACCAAAATTTGTATTACTGAAAGCGCTTTTCTATTCATTATATCCATGTACAACAATGTTGCTGTTTAGACTCAGAAATTCGAATTTTTGGGTTTGAGAAACCTTTAAAATGTCTTTTTTGATTCTACAATTCAAAAGAAGACTTCCAGAAAGGATAGCAACATCAAGTTGGAAAACAAATGTTGTTTTCACACTTAAGCTTCATTTCAGTTAAGTACTTTAAAATCTAAACCAAAGAAAGTAGTTTTTAGAATGATCAAGATTATTTTTTGCCCCAAATGATGTAACTCTAATACTTATTCATTGGCATATTTCGCCTTTTAGTTTACACGTCTTTAAATTTTGATTAAGTTGAATAACTGTTGCTTTTGGTTATGTTTTTATTTACTATAAAAGAGCGTTTTTAGACATCAAAATTGTATAATACTCATTTATCTAAACAACATGATTATAAAGTCAGTATGGGTATTTGGAATAGTTTGTAGAGCGAACTATGTAACAAACGGGTGAATGCTATTTACATGAATAAAGGGTTCATGGGATATGAATTCCACTGGTTTCTGGAATTATTCTGTCACTTTGGAACACTAGATTGTACTTGTGGAGATGCATCACCAAAATGGCTGCAGTGCTGAGACATCACTCCGAACTACAGTCGCAGAACCATCACAAATAAAGGCCATACACAGTTGTTTCTGTTAGCGGATTGGTTAGAAAGTCCATCATACTTGATAAGCATTCTTACCTGCCCTAACCCCTGATGAATACTAATTTTGTGAATTTATGAAGATGCGGGTTTATCGCTATAACCTATCAACCATTCCTCAATTGAAGGATATCATTGCGATGGAGGATCTTACGATTCCTGAATTTGTTTATTGTTAAATCTCGCACAAAGCTACTCGAGGACTATTTGCGCTACCCGTACCTAATTTAGAAGTAATAGACTAGAAGGAAGACAACTAGCCAAATTACTCACCGCCAACTCTATGGCTATTCTAATCGAACAGAGGGATTGACAGTTACATTATAATGCTTCCACGTCTGAAAGGGCGAGCATATTCGGTGACGGGATTCGAACAGCGACCCCCAGATTGCAAGTGGAGCGCCAAACCATCAGTCCATGTCAGATCTATTGATGTTTGACTATAATATAAAATCCAAACTTGAAATAAATTATAACGATCTCATAACTACGAGAAACATCAGTTTTTTCACTTATCTATATGTTTCGTTTAGTAATTTTAAAGCCTCTTAGAGGCACGAGTAAGTTGATGAAAAAAAATAGTTCCGAGGAGCTATACGGTTATTGTTATTTTGTTTAAAATTTACCTTAAGGACGTAACTGTAATGCTTCAACTATATATCTCTGACCAGCTGTCTATAGAATATTATTTCCGTGTTTGCCATGTCGCCTGTGTCTACCCTATAGAATAGTCAATGGTGCTAACTCTATATTGTAACCACAAGGACATTAGATTAAGAATATCTATATTGGAACCACAGTGACATCAAATTCAGAATATCTATATTGGAACCACAGTGTCATCAAATTCAGAATATCTATATTAGAACCACAATGACATCAGATTCAGAATATATATATATATATATATATGAACCACAATGATATCAGATTCAGAATATCTATACTGGAACCATTATGACATGAGATTCAGAATATCTATATTGGAACCACAATGACATCAGATTCAGAATATCTTTCGAGATTCTTTGTAGCAAAGGAAGATGGTTTAACTTGGTGTTGCTCGTGCGCTTTTATCTCCCTTCTTGTGTTGAACCTGGGACAACAAATGAGTGAGTAATTAACTAAACTATAAAGCATGGAAATAGTTTTTATGGTATTCAGTCGCCGAAAGCAAAAAGTAATTTTCAGTGGCAGTAGAGAGTGGAGATGATTTATATTCCAATGACTAACGGTAGTTTTTAAAAATAACAATAGATCTGTCTTCCCTTTCCGAAAGGGATTAATAACTGTTTAAATGTAATTATTTTAATGAATGAATGTAATTCTAGTGGTCAACGGCTCAGTTTTTTATTTATATTTTAGAATCATCTCTCTACTTTACCTTTCTACGTGCTTGTACCACCACATCGCGCTTTACTCAATACATGCTTATTAACTAATACACTAACCTGATATTTCAGAAAAAAGGATAAACGAGAGGACACTAACATCAAACTTAAAATAAATAATCTATCGTTTTCTTGCTATATTAAGCGTTCTATCATCTAAAGAGTTAAACGGTTTCATCTCTTTACCTTCATTGTTATACTAGATAATTGTGAGAAATTATCATTTGTATTTATTTCACCACAGTCAAACATCAAACTTAAAATAAATAATCTATCGTTTTCTTGCTATATTAAGCGTTCTATCATCTAAAGAGTTAAACGGTTTCATCTCTTTACCTTCATTGTTATACTAGATAATTGTGAGAAATTATCATTTGTATTTATTTCACCACAGTCCTTTTAATACGATCACTAAGTTTTAATTTCCAATTCATGATGCCACACCATCATTACGCCTCGTATCTCTATATTTTTTACTAGGTATATTTGTATCAGTTTGATTACATTTGAGCAATAAGAGTGGCTGAAAACAACAGTCGTAGCGACCACTGTTTCCTAAGTTGTTATTATATTATCTGTTATTATTTCAAATCATGATCAGATCTTAAATGTCCCTTTCGCCAATGAGGTAAAAATTCTTCTCCCAAAAAAAAACCAGATTACACCCAAACAATTGTGCTTTAAATATATCGAGCCATTACGACCTCGAAAGTAGATCCTCATTATTCGTTCAGATTAATAATAAGCCCAAACAACAATATTTTCCTATTTTAGCACTAATAAAAGGTTTTCCTCTCACTATGTATATCCGGCGTCTTTTGTTTTTGTCCGTTTGTTTTAGCGCAAATATATCAAATGGAGTATTTACGTTCTGTCCACCCCCTGAGAAATGATCCTCAGATTTTAGCGTTGTAAGTCCGTAAACTTAGAGGTGATTCACAAGAAGACTATACTTACTTACGTAAGGCCCTAGATACCTAGTGACACAAAGATCCTTTATGAACCCAGTCCTTGCACGTCGATCCCAAGCCACATCCTCGACATCATCTCACCGATTTCCAGCTTCCTTTCTCATAGTGCTAATTCACGATGGTCTCGGTCTATCTCTTCTTCGAGTTCCATTAGGTCTCCATTTAACTGCTTTTTTTTGTGATTATTTTTTACTGTCCTAGCGCATCACATGTCCGATCCGATTCGTCATCTGATGGGACAGCGGTAAATTTACGAACTTACAACTCTAATATCCGGGTTTCGATTCCCCGCGGTGGATACAACAGTTGGTACAATGTAGCTTTGCTCTCAACAAACAAGCGATCCGATCCATTTCCAGCTAGCCTTCTTTATAATGTCGTCAACCCATAGTAACTGTGTCACTTCTCTTATATGTTGCAAACATACACGACCTATAAATCTAACACCAAGAATTATTCTCAGAACTCTGTTTTCAGATTTGAAAATTCTGCCACACAAACTCTCATTACTGTACTAATTTTCAAATCCGTGCAGAGAACTGTATAGTATGTATTATTAATTGCAGCTCCATAGAAAACAACAGTACATGAAACAATAAGCGTCGCCCAGCATGGCCAGGTGGTTAAGGCACTTGACTCGCAATCTGAGGGTCGCGGGTTCGAATCCCTGTCACACTAAACATGCTCGCCCTTTCAGCCGTGGGGGTGTTATAATGTGACGGTCAATCCCACTATTCGTTGGTAGAAGAGTAGCCCAAGAGTTGGCAGTGGGTGGTGATGACTAGCTGCCTTCCCTCTAGT